TACGGAAAAATTCACTCGTAAAAATGATTAAAACGTAAAGCAGATGATGCTTTCGGATAGAAAAACTTTGATTCAAATAGATGGTGAAAAATCTACGATTTTAAAGCATTTTCAAAGTGTTTTTGAACAGGTAAATAGGTAGATTTTGTATTTTAGAGCATGCAAGTATTTCGTAAGTTTAACTTGTAGATTTGTCAACAAATGTACGGCACCTCTTTGAATTTATTCGTCAATTTCGTTAAAATGATTTTGATTGGGAAAGCATTTATTTTTAAAGGTCAATCTGTTTAAAAAGGAATTGAAATCTCGCTAAAAGTTGTAGTATTTAAAACTATTCGTAGCACAATTTATAATGAATTACGATTATAGTTGAATGTGATAGCTCGAGAGTCGACTTTATAATTGTACCAAGATATAGGATTTTACTTACACGGCTTCGATCATTCAGCAGAAACCGCGAGTATTATAAAATTTCAGTGATAGAAATATAAGTTTATTGCTCCAGGCGAGGGGACTTTGCATGCAATGTATTTCTAGTAAACAACTAATAACCCAACTATTCAAATCACCTTGTAGTGAACTGTCGATTCGACCACGTTTTCTGTTACGTGAGTTGTAGTGCTACAATATAAGTTGAGTTGATAGTTTTCTAACTTCTTTATTTGAATTCGGCCTATTAAAATTTGAGCCTCGGCCTGGAGTAGGCTTTGCATTGAACCTGATTTTTGTCTTAAAATTAATGTTAAACTTATGCCAAACATGTTGGAGATGTGATACTTTTTCCGAAAGTCTCGGAACTTCCCACGTGCAGTATCACGCAATCCTGCACGGAAAACCATTTAGTATTTTCTTTATAAAATAACTACAATGAAACGACGGTCAAATTTCCCGCGCACAGCGGCATTGGAAACTTTCCGTGCAGGGTTGTCTCATACTGCACGCCTGCGAAATAATCAAATTGCGTGTTTCATTGTAGTTATTATATTATATTTATTATATAATTATAATGATTGTGTATCTATTGCGTCCTGTCTTACGTGCACGCTGAGTTCGTGAAATGTAATCCTGATCCCAAACACGTGAATTCCTGTTTAAATTGATCAACCAAAATTGCTCAAATCACAAAGTCAAACTTGATTGGTCAAAAGATAACTTCATGTTTCATCGCTCAATAGAAATGTTTATTCTGTATTGTCGCTATTATATACTAAGAAAATTGGGAAAATATCGATCGATTGACTGTCGAACTTAGTTCCATTGTTCACCGCACTTATGCCTTTGTCTAAAGCCTATGAATTTACAGCTGATTTTGATTGTTTTATGGGAAAGAACACGCCTGGAAATGAAAAGCGAAGCAGTCATCCGTGTCGCCCCACCTAGCTCTGCCTTACCAATATCACAACGTCATACCACTCATTTAACACATCAAACTAAGGAGACGACACGAGAGAACAGCTGGGAAGCTTGGTCTCAATTCTTTAAAAGCAGTCTTCCTTCGTTTGACAGGAAGACCTTAGCATATTAATTTTCATTTGCTAAAATCTAAAGCTTCGAAAGTTTATTTTCAAGATTGCTACACAGGTATTTATATAAAAAGTGTAACTGAATGTTAGTGTTTCTCAAATTTGAGCTTCCAATTAAAATCTTAATAAACTTTTGTTTGCCGCCTGAGTCTACCAATCTTCGCTAACTTTTCTATTTTACGACTTGAACGATTCCATCGGAAACTCTAACTCTCTGTCTCTGAGTCATTTTAAGTCGTTCCTGAAATGACATTGACTCACACACTATATATATAACTATTGTTAATTGCATGTCTAAATATGTTGTTGTTTGTCTATGTCCATGTCCACGTCGTTGTCCTTGTCCTTTTTAATGCATGTGTATATTTCTACGTCTATATGATTCTAAGAAAACGCAGAACACTTATTTTTATATGTTGCCATGTGGTATTTCATAATTACTTTAAATTGAATATGATAGAAGTTACGTTAAAATTATTATATTAGTGAAGCGACTCAGTGTATCAAGCAGGACCCTACTGAAACACACTTTAGGCCGGTGGTGTTGGTATCCTGATTAAATATAATTTTGATAATATTATATATCATGAGGTTATGTGCGCACGAGTAACCAGTCCATTGGATCATCCGGATAGCAAATTAACAGAACAACTATTCCGCCGTAGACGTTTTTTTTGCGTGTGTATAAAATCAACATGAAATTGTTGTAGCAACAGCACCCCCAAACGTGTCTACATGTATTGTTTAGAGAATGAAAATTATAGAACTACAAAACGTCTTATATTAAAATATCATCCAGTTGCATATGTTTGCAGCTTGTTTGATCCAAAGAGACCAAAATCATCGATCAAAAACCTTCGGTGCGAGGTTGTCGAGGAACAATTTGGAAGAGAAGTTTGCATAATATATCTCTAAACATCAAAACTGAATATAAGATACAAAAATATTATCAATAATAATGATAATAATATATACTACTACTAATAATAGTAAATATAAATGCGGTACATTTAGTGTTTAGTTATCTCTTAACCTTGATGTTCATGTATTACATGCAATATGTCGGACAATTGTATTGAGGATTGCGTGCGTGCCAAAGTACTCAACAAGCACCATTTACTTAGGGCTGCTTTCCACAATCGAGTTTTTTATAAATACGTATACGCACATAAAAGTTTAAAATCATTTTAACGATACTTATGAAATAAAACTAGACTTTACAACAACTTACAAGGTTTTAAGCTTTTACGTGCGTGTGCGTTCATGCAAAAAACGCGACAATGGACATCAGCCTTTACCTAACAATGACAATCCATTAATCAAGTGCCCTGTCCTTCAGTGTCGCTCTCCTCTAACTTGAATGTATTGTTGACGTATTTTAATTTTCTACAGCGGCATAAGAAGCGCGACAATTTGGAATATACATATATCGCATATTCATATTCTGTATGATCAATTTCTTTTGAAATCGATTATTGATTTTATTAATCAGGCTAGAAATTAGCTATAATTCAGTCAATTGGAGTTTGGAATTCTTGAAATTAAGATTCTTATCATGTATTATCAAAATGTCACATACATCCAGTTGCATTTCCAGCTGATTCGATTAAAGAGCATCTACATTATAGAGGTAGTTCCCGACCAGTGCGACCACAATTTAGAGTTAGGCTCAAACTCTCTCCCGATAGATTTCGCGAGAAAGAATTGGAAGACATAATAGATCTTATTCAGTGTTTTACCCTCTCTAATAAGTAGGTATTATTATCGTTCGTTCGTTCGCTGCGCTCATTCGAGAGTCACTCGCGCCTTTTTGCCACTGGAACGTAAGATCCATATCTTCAAGCGGGCCGTGTAATTTTCTGTTTATTATATGGACAAAATTAAGAAAAAAATATGTATAAAGACGACAAGAAAATAAAGCGCGAAAGACCATGATAGAAGCGAATGTTTTTTAAATTATAGCCTGACATATAAAAGTAGAATAAATTTCTTTATCTAAAGATATCTTTTTAGTTTTTTCGTTTTATAAACGAACCAAAGCTAGACCATTTGTATTTTTACAACAACAATGAAAATGGCGGAATCGAAAATTTTTAATATATATATATATATATATTTCGTCTTGCCGGCAGATGTTTCTTTACATTCTATATATCTAGCTGCTTTCACTGCATTAAAAGATCTATATCTTCACAGAATGGGAAATAAAGAGAACGAACGAAAGCCAATCATATTCGGCAACTGTAAAGAAGTTTTGCAGACAGTTATAATGTTTTACTTTGCTGCAAACCTCGTTTTTGGAAAGGAAGATTCAAAATTTTGTACAAATGGATGGTCTGTATTCGTTGAAGACAGAGAGCAATGGGAGAAAGAGTGTTTAAATGAAGATATTATCAATATGACAAATTGTTGTAAGAGGACAGCGGAGTATCTTGAAGAGAGATACGAAAACTACATAAAGATGTGTCCTATCGTTGGTAAGATCAATATCATTGTTCATATTTTGATCCCAAGGTTCAGTATATAGCGACGATATAACGTTTTCATTTGAACATTAAACGTATAGTTATTATATACCAAAGTTAATTGGTCCCGTTGGCTGGCTGCCTATCAACCTAAAAAGAAGCGTTATGACGTGTAGCTTTTTCATTACGCATATTAGGAGATTTTTGCAAGTGGGAATTGAGTGCGACGCTTGCGACCTGTTCAGTTATACTTCCGGTTATATATGTACTATCTAGTATAGGTCAGTTGTCGAAACCATTGTGGATGGTGCCAAGTGCTCCTCCCTACATCGTGGCAGTCTTTTAAATGTGAGATTGTATGTTCAACAATTACTCGACGTAAAATCAATCTTCAATTTGAGCTGCGCAAGAGAGGTATTCCATTTTTTTGATAAAAGTAGCACTGCATGCATGGTATACCTGGTTCAAAATAGTATATATATATATATATATATATATATATATATATATATATATATATATATATATATATATATATATATATATATATATATATATATATATTGCGTACATGGCCGACAGGTTTCGGCTAAAACCTTCCATGTTCTGTCATTAGGAGGCAATTGCGTTTGTCATTTTCAAGAGCGAAGAATAGACCGTATTACGAAGAGCAGAATGTCAGACCCAGTGTCATGGGTGAAGCCGATGATAACTTGCTCGCATAAATTCCAGATTAATCTTTACAAAGTGGAGCCAAACGTAAAATCACCGCAGCGGTTTCCTGCCGGTTTAAATAACATCAAGTATAACTTCACACTGTATGGGGGAAAGAAAGTTTCATGTACCATCTTAGTCTATGTTCGTTCTTGCAATACCAGTGGTAAGTGTAACCCTAAGTGTATAGCACTTCTAGCGGTGACGAATATAGTGAAAGCAAAAGACCAGGACACAGCGAGAGATAATTTATCTGGATATCTTGTTGTTATCATTGCGCCAGAAAAAGAGAGTGGGCATGCAGGGATATCTTATCCACGCGATTAACGAGTTTTGTATTCAATGTTTAGAAAAAGAAGAAATAGCTGAGAGAAATGGAAATAAAAGAGGTAAACTGCAAAGATCATTATCACTTTCAGAAATATATTTATTTACGTTACATTACTATCAAGTACAATTTCATCTGATTCACCAATCCTTCTGAAACGTTTGCATTTCAATCATTCACAAGTTCGTAGTTTAGTTCGCATTGCGTACTTTTCAAGTTGTCTCCTTTCTGAAGATAACTTCTGATTACTAGTCGTATGCGATATATCATTTTATAGACATTTACATAGACGCTATACGCTTTCTGTCAGCTTCCTGGGCTATATAGGCATGAGCCTGGGAACCGGTACCATAATTGAAAAAGTATTTTGTGTAAATTCATCTTTCGTTTTCGTCGCTTCTAAATCGTGAAAAAAAGACTAAAACATTTACGCACAATACTTATCAATAAAAAAGCCGCACAAAAGGAAATTTAAAAATATCAGTATGTATGCGGTAATCTTTACCGAGGCGAGAACCAGCATGATGCCAAAAGCCATGCATGCAGACAAATTTTGGCCTCGACTTTAACGACATATTACAGCGGCTTCTCCGCGGTTGTGCCTGGGGGTCTCCATGCTTTAGAAATTCCCCAAATTTCGTATGTTTTGCATTTAATTAAATTATTTGAGCATAAACTTGTACTCATTAAACATCTTTTACTCATTTATAAATATATCCAAATAAAGTAGTACTTTGACAATATTCTAACAATAATATTCTGACTGGACAGGATAATTTAAAAGATATAGCGATGCAATATGTAAACACGGCGTTTGTTTACATTACTGACTGTAATCTATACGTTTAAAGTTTCAGTCTATTTTTATTATCATGAATGCTTTCATTTCGTGGGTGACAAATTGCATGGCACTGAACAGCTGTATTCTATTTTGCTCTAGACTGTAAAAAAGATATCCTTGTTCTCTGGGATATTTCGAATTATGTTAACTCTACGTACATCGATGTTGTTAAAGAATTTCTAAAGAAATTTATGAAAAGTGAAAAGCTGCACGTAGAAGAACAAGGCACTCATCTTGGTTTCGCTTCTTTCTCAAGCGACAACCGAACTAGAGAATTATTGGAGGTTGGCGAAATTAAGAACAAAACATTGTTGATGCAGTGGCTGGATAGAATTGACTTTAAAAATAATCCGAGGGGCAATACGGCATTCAAAAGTATGGCGAAAAACGTAAGTAGGCTTAAAATGTTTTACCAATGTAACATTTATAGATGTGTGTTTTTAATCTTTGCTAATATATTCCATCGTGTTGTTGAGAAAAGTTGTTAAACCATGATATTACAAAATACCCCACAATTACCAGGTTAGGTCGGCACGTAAAGACTGTAAAACGTAAACAACCTAGATAAACCTACCCCAGTCTATGATAATATAAAAGGCAAAAAATTTGGTTATTTTTATTTGTAATTTATGTAACCAGCTGATCTGAGAAAGAAAATTAGCCAATCAGAAGCCAGAACCTCAAAAAAATCAGATATCATTTCATATAATGTAACCAGGCTTCCAAAATGGAAGGGAATTTCCTTGCAATTGACAACCACAAGGAAGGGGGGGATCTGTGTTAATAGGATATGTTATGCATTCTTTTCAAAAGTTCTTTGTTTCTTTTTTTGTCATTGCTCAGCACAGCCATATGAAAATAAGTTGTGGAAACCCTGATGATAACCCACTTTTTGCCGTGACGTCCTTTGTTGTCATCATTTCAGAGTAGCTTGCTGAGAATATACACTGAACAACCCTAGCTGCGTGAAACATTCAATGTCATGTGCCCGTTTGCACAAATATACAATTTATTTACTCAATTACTACGTACTTTTCAACAATCAAATGAATATACAAGTTTACTATTCAATTTTTTCATAGCCGTTTAACGAGACAAGTCCTAAAAACTTCCGTCCGGACGTAGAAGACGTTATTTTGTTCTTAACCGGCAGCGCACACGAATCTGCAGAAAATCAAACGAGGCTTGTCGATGAATATACCACAATATTTAGAAAGAAGAATTTCACTATTGTCCGCTTGGCTGTCGGGAATGAGGTCAAAAAGTTGAAACTATATATTAAAAGCTGGTCGTCACCAGAGCGAATATTCGAATCAAAGTTAGACGAGTTGGACAAAGTTGTGAATGATACAGTTGATGCTTCCTGCACTTTACCTGGTACGTGTATGTGTGTCAAAACGTAAAGCTGATAAGACACATTAGGCAAGCATTCTAATTCTATTCCATTTCACGCCACCCTATCCCATTCTATCCCATCTCATCTCATTTCAACCCTCCCCCTATCCCATATCAACCCATTCCATCCCATTCCACTCCATCTAATTCCTTTTCCTTCCCTTCTATTCCATTTCATTCCATTCTATTTCATTCCATTGTATTCGACTATACTATATAATCATAATCAGGAATAAGTTTTTGGTTAATATTGCAATAAATGTAATAAATGTAAAAAATGCAATGTTATCATCAACTGGAAAACTACGAACGCTGATAAAAGATAAAACTCTTTTAAAAAAAATATTTTTTATTGTTAGTTTTTAAAAATTTCGCGCAAAGACATATAACAATACCAAAGTATAATTAAACATTTGCAAAATTAGGGCTAGGAACCTTCTAGAAACCAAGTTATAGTTCAATCATTTCCTTATTTTCATGCCCTGGTTAAATTGAAATAAGGGACGCTGTTTACACACACGAATCGAAGAGCATACAAGAGATAGTAAATCTGTAATATTTAATCACATTATATCACGTGATAACTCCAACATAATTAAAACACTCTACGAACTCTATCTTAAAGATAAACACTACACATCTACAACGTTTAATATTATACTGATCTTAGGTTTTTTAAATAATATTAAAATAATTTAAGGATCTTATCATTAGTCATTGCTGCTGTTTAAAGAATCTCTTGCTTTCCTAAGCTGAACGGCTTTGACCATGGAGCACAAGCTAATAAACTAGACACTCTTCTGTAAACACACCTTAGGGTGCTAGATAACGCACCTTGGTGCTCTCAGTTGCCCTGCTGTCTTGTGGTTGATAGTCTTTCCAGTTATCAAAAAAAATTGGTGCTAATGCTGTCCCCCATTTTGCGACTCTGCATGTTCAGCAAATTTAAAGTAAACACTTATACATCTTTTTGACTTAAAGGAGGATGTGAATGCAGAGATAGCGGTAACTATGAGTTTACTGCATATGCTAAACCTAATGAAATCAAAGGGCTGGTTCATTGGTCAGTACCAGAAGTCACGTGCTCGGATTATCAGAGAGGCCAAGTTCATCCACCTGACGTCAGGTCTCCTGCAAATTTCTCGCTGGGCAAGCACGTGATCACCTATCACTACTCATACAAACGCAATAACAAGACTATAGAGTTCAAATGTTTTGTTAACTTCACTGTTGTCGGTAAGTAATTGTTGCCTCAGGTCCGCAAATTCGCATTAGAGCCGCTCTTGAACGATAAATTTTCGTTAATCACTGACAAACCTTATGGAGCTTAATCTGCTATCGACCACACAATTTTCGTAAAGTTTAGTCGCAATTTTAATCCGCAAAACATCACGTAAAACTACGTAATGTAATGAGAAACATGAATATATATAAGCTAAATATTACCACAAGGAAATAATAATACGTTGTTTCAATACGTTGCTTGGGGCAAATAAACTACAGTGCTGAAAAATCCTTTTACAGTTCGCAAAAGCGTCTCGTTCCATCGCCGATATACAAAAAACGAATTAAAACTCGAACCCGTAGGTCGCTGGTAATTAAGCCAGCAGTTATAGTAATGATTTCAGTACTTTAATATTTCGTATATACTTGCGAGGTTTTCGAGATCCTTATTGTACGTTTGTTAGTCTTTTTCTTCGTAAATTAAGGCAATAGAATAAACTCAAAAATTCCCAACCGTTTATTTTGAAATTTAGCTTGTCATTGCCCATGCACACAAACAGTAAATTCTGAAGTTGAAGAAGGCCGAGACGAGAAAATCTTAGTCAGTTGGACAGAACCTAAGCCTACATGCCCAACCACACCAAATCCTGCCAATCCGAAACTTACTAACTTGTTTTAATTTCTATTGGTAACTACACGCGGTACTACAATTACACGTACAGCAACAAGCATCAAACATTTGGTATCCAATGTCATGTAAGAATTGGTGTCACAGGTATGCTCTTCGCTCATACAACAGTCCCAATCGTTTTACATTACTTGATGGCAACTTGTACTAAATGCTATAGTGCATAACTTGTATTCAAAATTCAAATGGCCATTATATATAGCCAGTCCAAGGAAAGTTGATCATATAAACCTTAAACGGCTAAACGTAAAATCCGAAATACAAGTGTGCAAAGTATGCAAGTGCGAAGCTTTATAATTATTTTGAACGGTGTAGGTATAATAGAACTCGAATTGAATTTTTCACTAGGAGACAAGCATTAAAAAGCAATAAAAACCTACGGGCCTGACAAAGGAAATCAGAAATTTTCGTGATATCAGTCTCACTTTACTATTAATATCACTATTCAAAGCACCAACTTATCTTCATATTTCAGCTTATAAAACGCTGAGGTTACAAGGATCTTTAAGTGAAAATGGAAAAGGACGTGTTGAAGTGTTCTTCAATGGACAATGGGGAACAATCTGTGATGATGGATGGGATTTCAAAGATGCTAGAGTTGTTTGTCGTCAACTTGGTTATCAAGATGCTGTTAGAGCTCTTGAAAGAGGTCAGGTTCCTCATGGTTCTGGACGGATATGGTTACGCGACGTTGGATGCAAAGGAATGGAGCAAAATTTGATAAGTTGTTCTCATAGAGGATGGGGAGAACATGATTGCAGTCATGACGAAGACGCTGGAGTAGAATGTGTTTCAACAGGTAAAGATACAAAAAATAAACATGTTAAGGTGGCTCTCTCAGCATATATCTAAAAGCATCCGTTAACTCGGACTTTATCTGTGCAATTGTCCGTTAACCACGCAAAATACGATTCAATGACTATGATTTCTATTTTAATTAAACATTTTGTATGAAGTTTGCCTTGAATTATATAAAATTTCTGGTATTACAATTTTACAATCTTATTAGCGATAATAGAAAGTCTAAACCGCGGTTAATCTAGGTCAGACCGAGGTCCAACCGCGATTAGCCCGATGTTGAACCTCGGTCGAATACGGTCTGACAGACATTTTCTTAAGATGTTTTCGACCTGATTATTGTATTGTCGACGTTCTCAGTAGTTCATAATATTCCGTTCGAGAGCGAACGGTAATCGCGATCGTATGTTTTCCCTTGCGGTCTTCTGATGGGGTTTCTATAGGCCAACCGCAACCGAACCGCAACCGCAGTGTTAGGTTATCTCTGGACAGTACTGTAATACCGGGTTTTAAATTTTTTTTTGCTCTCACGCATTGTCACAAGTTCGCCTTTTGCGTCTCATCTTTTGTTATGAGAAGCCTGAACCTTTGACGTTGCGTAATGAGTTTTGTTACCACGAATCCTCTCTTATAGGAAGGAAAAATACAGTTATTATATCGAATGCAATTAAAAACATACTAGAAATACATGCATGCAAAATCCCCTCGCCTGAAGTAATAAACCTATATTTCCATTAGTGAAATTCTATAATACTCGTTTCCGCTGAATGATCGAAGTCGTATAAGTAAAATCTTATATCAAGTACAATTAGTCGACTCTCGAGCTATCACATTCAACTATAATCGTAATTCATTAATTGTGCTACGAATAGTTTTAAATACTACAACTTTTGTTGATAAATCTACAAGTTAAACTTACGAAATACTTGCATGCTTTAAAATACAAAATCTACCTATTTACCTGTTCAAAAACACTCGTAGATTTTTCACCATGTATTTGAATCAAAGTTTTTCTATCCGAAAGCATCATTTACTTTACATTTTAGTCAATTTTCCGAATGAATTTTTCCGTATATTTTCAAAACCATCCAAATGAAAAATATCTTTAAAAAAGTTTTATAATTCAAAATATCAGTTATGCTGACGCGAACCAAAATTTTAATTCAACCAATCGCACGCTCGCAAACGTTTGCTGGTTACCAGTTTTAACTCTTTTTAAACTCACGCATGCGCATAACTTACAAAAACGCCCAACGTCCATGACATAATGGCGGACAACTTTCATTTCGCATTTGCATTCCCGAGCGTAATTAAAATCTCCGGGCGGAATTAGTACCCTCGCCCGGTGCTTCGCACCGGCTCGGGGATAAAAGAAAACTTTTTTCGGAAACCTCGCATGCATGCATAGTCTGCGAGTTGAAAAGGGTTGAATTTTATAAACTTTAAACGCTTAAAGCCAGTTTTCCAGTTGGCGAATTTATTCGCTCCAACAGATAAAAAGTAGGAAGCGATTCTACTTTTTCGCGGCGAATTTTTTCGTAAGCCAATCACATCACTCGATTTCATATAACGCTTCGCGACGCGCGAATAAATTCGCCTAGTGGAAAATGGGCAGTATATAGGCTTAAACGTAAACCCCGAAATACAAGCGTGCAAAGTATACAAGTGTCAAGCTTTAATTGGGTTGAACAATGTAGGTATAATGGAACTCGAATTGAATTTCTCACTTGGAGTATGCATTAAAAAAAACAATAGAAACCTACGGGCCTGAGAAACGAAATCAGAAATTTTCGTGATATTAGTTTCACTTTACAATTAATTCCACTATTCAAAGCATCACCATATGCTTCACTTTAAATATTCCAGCTGATACAACGCTGAGGTTACAAGGATCTTTAAGTAAAAATGGAAGAGGACGTGTCGAAGTGTTCTTCAATGGAGAATGGGGAACAATCTGTGATGATAGATGGGATTTTAAAGATGCTAGATTTGTTTGTCGTCAACTTGGTTATCAAGATGCAGTTAGAGCTATTTATAGAGGTGAGGTTCCTGATGGTTCTGGACGGATATGGTTAGACGAGGTTGAATGCAAAGGAATGGAGCAAAATTTGATAAATTGCTTTCATGCGGGATGGGGAAAACACGATTGCCGTCATTCTGAAGACGCTGGAGTAGAATGTGTTTTAGCAGGTAAAAATACTAAAAATAAAAATGTTAAGGTGACTCTCTCTCAAAATATGTCTTAAAAACGCCCATGTTTCCCATTTCTCATTTAGCAGTGATTATTTCTTCCTGCCCCGATATCATTTTTCGGAAGTTGTCCTATTATATTTTTGTGAATGAGTTTAATTAAGTGGAGGACGAGGTTCGACGGTGGTCGTTAACCCGGACTTTGTCTACGCAGCTAACTTGATCAAAATCTACCTGTTCTTCTGTCATCAAATTGATTCTCCTGCTTTTTTAGGAAGGACGTGAAAATCGCCCAGCGGATAGATAAGGACTGTGTTAGAACTTTATTGAACTTAGTACGAGTTATGCCCCCCCCCTCTCTCCAAATTATCGCATCGATATAGCATCGTTCCTGGTCGTAACTTTGACAATAGTATTGTAAAGCAAAACTCGAGCATATTTTCAGGATTAAAAAAGTTATTTGAAAGTCCCGCATTAAATTCTACAAGCCTTTATGGTAATAAAAATTATTTCTGTTTTGTTGAAAAGAAAATTTGCACTTCTTATAAAGAGCCTTTTTACAAAATTTTTTTATCTTCATTACATATTGGCGATAAAAAACATCGATTATCAAGATATATCCGCCATCTTGATTTATAATGAGATCTAACTATATGTGACGTGAGAAGCAGGGTTAACGCCTAAAAAATAACAATGACATATTTACGTTTTACTTTAGAACTCTTACAATTCAAACGTTGTAATTTGAGATACGTGCGATTGTAATACCATGGAACTATAACTTGGATCGTTCCTGGTAGTAACTTTGAGAATACTACTGTAAACAAAACTCGAGCATATTTTCATGATTAAAAACGTTATTCGAAAGACCCGCATTAAATTTTACAAACCTTAACCTTGAACCATGGAATCTAAGCGTGCAAAGCATACAAGTGTCGTCGTTTGTATGTAATACCGCACGACCGTATAATGTTATACCGCGGGATTGTTCGGATTTGGTCGATACATTTAACAGTACATAGAATACAAGTACACACACGCGAAACACCAGTCTACACAGTATTGATATTCTTTGTGATGTGATTATACCTATGTCACCGGTAAATTTATCCTACAGTCAGTACAAATTCAGGAACAGAAGGTGAATTCGTTTTATAGTCGAGGGTAACTTCAAACGACAGCATGCCTTCTTGCTCAAATTTTTAATGATTTTTTTCATTTAATATTTTCTTTCTTATTTCAAAATAAATTCTTATGATTTGATATACAGCAACTGAAACCTGTATTTAAGAAATAGAAAACATTTTCCGTGTTTCTATACAGTTATAGAAACACGCGTGGGAGTTTGGGAGAACGAGAAATAATCAGTGGGAAAACGAGCCCGTAGGGCGAGTTTTTCCACGTTATTTTGAGTTCTCCCAAACTCCCACAAGTGTTTCTATAACTGTATAGAAACACAGGAAAAAATGTTTTCTATTTCTATTATAATATAACTCAATTAAAGATTTTGTACAAATATTATGATTCGATTCAATTACAAATTCTCATTACATCGCTTCGCAGTTATAGAAACACGCGTGGGAGTTTGGGAGAACGAGAAATAATCAGTGGGAAAACGAGCCCGTAGGGCGAGTTTTTCCACGTTATTTTGAGTTCTCCCAAACTCCCACAAGTGTTTCTATAACTGTATAGAAACACAGGAAAAAATGTTTTCTATTTCTATGATATAACTCAATAAAAGATTTTGTACAAATATTATGATTCGATTCAATTACAAATTCTCATTACATCGCTTCGCTTGTCAAGTTCGGCGGGAAAATTCCCGTGTTTCTATACAGTTATAGAAACACGCTTCTCGACCAATCAGCACGCGCGTACTATAAATGTTATATTATAATAAATTATACCTGCTGCTCCTACTCCGTTGCTATAGGTTCACATAATTACTTGGCATCTAATTGCAGACATTCCTTTTATATCTTCTCTTATTCTCATCCTTGACCTCATGGTTTTCTGTTTTAAGCGGTTGTTTCAGAGCTTGATGTAACAGATATCAGTACCTGCCTTATTCCACCTATTAATTTATTATCTTTACATGTATCTGGCTACGGGGAAACTGGGAACATTTTCGTCACTTTGAGTATTCGATAGTTCTAAAAAAATATTTTACATTTTGCAGTTCATATTTCACTGAGACTACGGGGACCATTGAGTGAAAATGGCACAGGACGTATTGAAGTATTTTATGGAGGACAGTGGGGAACTATTTGTGGTAATATATGGCATAAGGGAAATGCTGGAGTTATATGTCGTCAACTGGGTTATGGGGATGCAGTTGCGGCCCTTTCTGGAAATTTTGTTCCGGATGGCTCTGGAAGAATATGGTTAGATGGTGTCGATTGTACTGGACGTGAGAAAAGTTTGATCGATTGTCAACATCAAGGTCAAGGATGGGGATACACAAGTTATAACTGCGATCACTCTAATGACGCTGGGGTAGAATGCTCTACAGCAGGTAAAATTAAAGTCCAGGTAGCGGATCTAGGGTCAGTCAGACAGTAAATTACACAGGTTAATATTTATGAAATCTGAATACCTTAATAATAACAACGTTGTTGATTATGAAAGGAGCACGCCACGTAGTATTGATTTTCTCATTTAACAAGACCATGCAAACCACATTTACATGGCATATCCTGGACTTGAATTTGCCCCCCATTTGTGCTCCCCAATTTCTCCTCGATACCCCCTCTAGTATTATTTATAATCTCTATGGTGTTCACAGGAACTTTTTGTTGGGGGTACAAAGGTCCTAGATGGCGTAGAAAACGTTAGCAAAATACCAAAAAAAAACATTAGAAGAATACAAAGAGTGAGACTTCTGCTATAATGTCTATTCTGCGTTGTGTACTGATGAAGGCCCGGGTTAACGGACTTTTTTGCAGTATTAAATACTCACGTGATGTACCTACAAGCTACTGTAAAGGCTAGTATCCACTCAGGAAAATTGTCCTTTGGATCAGACAGGACAGGAAAATTTCCTTTGTATAAACGCCGCCCGAGAACGCACCGACAAAGGAAATTTTCTTGTCCCTTCCGATCCAAAGGAGATTTTTCCTGAGTGGAAACTAGCCTTTATTAAGCAACTACGCATTTTTTAGGAATAACGTGAAAATTTGCCCACGTGATAGATAAGGATTCTATATTAGTGTGAGCTTTAATGCTGGCGACCACGCCAAGTACCAGTCAATGACTATATAATTATTATCTCTCGTAATCAAACATTTTGTTTGAAGTTGGGTGCATGTTTTTAGCTACAGCTCCTTTGCTTATAGCCGGAAATAATAAGTTAACTAATTTGGCGGTAATAGAAAATTTGCTAAATCGTTTCAATGGGAACATAAACCAGGTTTTCAATCTTTTTTAATTCGCTCTTAGGCAATGTCGTAAGTTAGCCTCTTAAGCCCGTTTTCCACTAGCAATATTTTTCGCGCGAAGCGACTTTATTCCTTTGTATTTGAGCAATTTGTTCCAGATGGTTGCATTTGAGAGCTCTGGAACAAAAGTAAAATGTCGATTCGCGCGAAAAATATCGCTAGTGGAAAACCGGTTTTAAGAAAAGTTTCCAGGGTGTGTGTGTCATGAGAAAAAGTATCGTTTCCCAGCACGTGTCTTGGGAGGGGCAAGAGGGAGGGGAAGACTGTAATTATAGCTACTTACACATACCAAAAAAGTTCTCAATGCTTGTGACTAAGATTACAAGGCATTTACTGAGTGTTAACTTCTTAGTTTGATACATTTTGTAGATCACAGTTAATACGAAATTAATGTTTTAATGCATATTTTCGATTTTTTATCTGATGGATAACATTATCCAACTTCACGCTCCCTTTGTTGATACGTAACATCTTTTATTTTAGTATGCGTATGTCCTGGGACTCAAGTAAAAGCAGAAGTACTAACGGGTGAGACAAGGGTGTTCGTGAATTGGTCCAAACCTGAACCCACTTGCCAGACCACATCAAGCCCAGATAACCCGCAAAATACCTCTGGATGGTTCTGTGTTGGTGAACACACTCTGATGTACAAGTATACGCGAAATACAAGTTTATATATTACTGATATACTATGTCATGTGAAAATTAATGTTACAGGTAAATGCTTATTACATTGTATGACATTGTACGGACAAAGTGAAAATCAGAGAAGTCTTGAGAGAAAACCTAAACAAAATATAACTTATTTGCTTTACTTATTTCATCCATTTATTTCATTTCATTAAGTCTTCAGCAAATCAACCTCAATGCATTTTATCGCATTATATATATTATGTTGCCTTCAGGAAAGGATTGTTGCCTTGGATTATAATGAAATCACTCATGTTTGTTGCTGTGGTGAAGTCCACAGGAGAATATCTGACTTCAAATGCTGTGGCACAGAATACTACAATCCCAGAAGCAAGAAATGTTGCCGAGGAGGGAACGTTGTCACCTTTGGAGAACGTTGCCTTTAGCGTGAACTGAGTAAATTCCTTTAACTTAACCTTGCCTTGCCCTTGGTGTAGTGTATGTTGTATAGTGTCGTAGTAGTAGAAATTGCTATGCAACTCGTTCATCTATTTTCGTTTGCCTACCATATGACTCCGTTAACTTTTGGTATGTTTTTAGTTGGATTGAATTGACTGTCGCTTCTTCGTCAGATATTAGGTTACATTGTCTTGATGTTTTTTATTATAATTTACTTCCATATGGTAGGTGCCATTGTTTTATATTTACTTCCATATGATGTGCCAATCAAGACAATCCTAGATATATATTTTAAGAACTATAAGCAAGCTATGAAAAGTTAGTTATGAAACCTAATGTATAGTTTTTTTAGTTCTTAGTAATAAGACAAACTTTTTATTACGGCATGGTCCATATCGTACTAATTTCCATCTGTTGTTTGCCGTGGCGTATAGGAAATATTCGCATTGGGACCGGGGGCCCATATTCATGCATATATTGCGGTTAACAGACAATATAAAGACATTCGATTCCGAAAGAAATTGATTATTTGGAACATGAATATATGAACATGAACTTTCCCCATAATGTATCGACTGTTAATTAACCCTGCTGCACCCACAGCTAGCCCGCTAACAGGCGGGTACTCCGTTGTATGTATTATATACATGTGCTGCACCGAACTTGAGAAATTTGTTTATACCAGGATTAGTGAAACGTAAGGAAATCACAATTCGAAAATACCGAAAATGAAATCTGCGTAAAAAGTCAGCTATTCTCACCTGAATCGAGTTCGAATAAAAAAGAGACTGTGAATATGAGTTCGAATGTTTACATGCACGTATTTGTAAGATGAGTAATGTAAATGTGAGTAACACTAAGTATGGAAATAGACGAGTGCACCCTAGTATTGCAGACGTAGAAAAGCACATGTAAGAGAATAACATAGAATAAAAAGAGATTCGGTTTTCGGCGAGATTTTCCCGTATAAAAAGAATTAAAAGTGTTTTTGACCGGCCACGTTTGATGAGCTGATTATTCTCGAATTAGTCATCAAGAACCCGTGTAACATATTCACAAAGTTTCGCTGTGAATATTGAGATGAAGGGGCATTCATATTTTGGAATTTTTGTCAAATACATGCAGTCTGTAGAGCGGCCAAAGCGACGTCTAGGGTATTGACTTTATTGCAGATAGACTTCCAAACTGTGCGTGTGTTTTTTCTGCTTATCCAACGTGTTTAAGAACTTTTCTCTAATAGTTTCAAGATTTTCCTCGGCTAATTGTAGTCTGCTTTCATATCGCAGGGTAATCCTGCAGGTTTACTTTGAGTAAAAGAGAAGTCAACAGTGTCGCTATGCTCAGCATACAATCTATAAACAGTTATTAAATGCAATATTCTTGTTAATCTTGTATGCTTGTATGGTAACATCAATAAGTAAATTAGCTTGTAGGTACACCACGTAATCATTTAATACTACAAAGCTTTCAGTAAAAGCCCGGGTTAACAGGCTCCTAAATACACTGCCGGTCAAAAAGAACTGCTCAAAACAAGTTAAAATGCTCTCAATGAACGTAACTGTCCCTCAATATTGTACAATATTGTACGAAAATTGAAGGTAATGTCCGGACGTACTATAACCAAACGTTTCATTTACACTTCATTTTTCATATTTCCTTATTAAAATATATCAGTCTTTGCGATACTGGTTTTGAATTAATTTGAGCTAGAATCTGTGAAATTAGGCTTGTCTTAACAACAATGTCTTAAGTAGTATGTCGATTGTTCAAATCCAAGTGTATCTGTTTTTAATTATGTCCTTTGCGAAAAGGACTATAAAGTAAATTAAATAACCCTAGCCGTTCATCACAAGATCTCGTGGTTAGTGGAGAAGGTAATGTCTCCCAAGTGGTAAACCGAGTCTACCCTATAACTTTTATATTTATATTTATGAAACATACTCAAACGCTAGCGGAAAACGACAAAGAGCCATAGTCAGTATAAAAACGCTGCGCAGTCGCAGTAAACGAATAATAATTATCCCACAATCATCAGATTAAGCAATATAATATATACGAGGTCCTCATCTTTTGGAGTTGTATCCACTGCATGTCACGTTACTCACTTTTTATCTTTTTCATTATGAACTGAAAAAGTTAAGTAAAAACATCTTCAATGGTGTCCTAAGTTACAGTCGATACGATGGTTCGAATCCGAGTGTACCTATTTTCATTATATCTTCGAAGAAAGGATAAAGTAAATGAAATAATCATAACCGTTTAGCACAAAATCCAGTGGTCTAGTGGCGATGGTCCGAATCCAAGTTTCGCTGTTTTTCATTATGTCCTTCGCGAAAAGGATAAAGTCAATTAAAGTACCAATAGCCGTTCAGCACAAAATCTCCCAGTCTAGTGGAGACGACAATGGTCTCCCAAATGGTAAAGCGATGGTTCCAATCCTACCATAATCGTTTTTGATTATGACTTTCGTTAAAGGATCGATAAAGTATATGAAATAACCATAACTGTTGAGTACAACATCTCACAGTCTAGTGGCAAAGACAATTGTCTCCTAAGTGGTAAGTCGATGGTTCGAATCCAACTGTAACCGTTTTTCATTATGAACTTCGTGAAAAGATAAAGTAAATTAAATAACCACGGCTCTTCAGCAAGATCTCGTAGTGTTGTGGTCAAAATGTTAGTCTCATGTGTCGACGGTCGAAGGTTCGAATCTCGTTTTAGATGAAAATTTTCGTTATTAATCAAACATGGTAAGGTTATGTGAATAAGTTGGTGCATGCTTTCAACAATCACCAGTTAGCCTTGCGGTAATCGTGGACTATCAGTACAAGATCGTGGTATCAAGAACGGTATGGGACGTTTCTCATGGCGGTGGAAAACAAAAGAAAAAAAGGAAAAATGGTGGGTATGTTGCTCGGGGAGGTTTGTACTCGGTTAATCTTTGCAAATCAAAGTTAATCTTTAGGGAAATCAGGGGATAGGTAGGGTGAATAGGGGTATATGAGTACAAAAAGACTTAGTAATAAAAAAAAGTAATTGGGCGGCCCCGGCTCCGGGGCAAGGAAAAAGGGTATAGGTGAGAAGGCACCATATAAAATGTTAAGTCTTTTTGTACTCATTTAAACCTTTCACCCCTATTTATCCCCCTATTTACTCCTATCTATACTCCTATCTATCCCTGCTTTTACCTATCCTCATATATCCCTGATTACCCCCTCACACGATTAAATGTTCGAAGAAAGCTTGCTTTGAAAGTCAGGAAAGCCGGGGGAAAGAGAACCCCCCTCAGTCTACTCCTCGCCAAGGCGAGGGCATATTCGCCCTCTCACTCTACTCCTCTCACACTCACAAATTCTCACTTTATTACCTTTTTCTTTTTCGGTTAATCCAGGGCTTGAACCATCGACTGTATACTTGGCAGATCATCGTCTTCACCATCACAACACCAGTTCTTGTGGTGTAAGCCTAGAGTTTCTTATTTTACTTAATCCTTTTTAGAAGGATCTTTGATGAAATAGAAGAAAAAAAAATTCCCATCTAAGACTCGAACCTCCGCCTTTAAACTCGGAGAGCACTGTTTTTACCAGTAGACCGCACGATCTTGCGGTGAAATGCTATACTTTTTTATACTACTGAATACCTTATGGGTAGGATCTCAAATGAAATGAACATTTAAAGGAGTTCTTTTTAATGTTCATGATTTATTTTCTCGTCTAAAACACGCACACAATTGTATCTTATGCGTAGCCTGTAACATAATAGTAGGCATTTGTGTTCTCGCTAAATATCACATACAGGTATATGTTAAAGCACTATTATTTCCATCAGTTAGTTGTTATATGCGGCGCAAGTGAAGCTAATGGTTACGGTGGGCTTGTTTTGTATTTTTAATGAAGTGAAGTCAAAGTAAAGTACAAGAATTAATAATGCATTTCAAAATAGGCTTAAAAGAAAAAACTAAAAGAATTAAAAATAGCCGAATTCATATTAGGGCGGATTTATATTAGAAACTCATCTGAGACGGAAAAGTTGCTAGTAAAAACCCGTCTGAATATGAATTTGGCTATGCCTATGGATGAATTTATTCGTCCTTGACCGTGCTTATATCAGAAACTCGTCTGATTTATCCGTCTAAATACGAATTTAAGACGAGCTTCTCTTCCAGACGGGATTCCCGATACCTCGTAGTCGTACTCTCGAAGATTACATCTGAAATCGCAAATACATGAAGCAAATATCCAGTTAAACAGACATTGAGTATTTATTTTAAGACTTTGCTGTATAAAGAGTCGAAATACTAGCTGGTCTAGCAGGTTCGTCGAATATAAAATACGCTAAGAAAAAAGAAGTTCAGTTCAAAAGCGCAATTTCCGCAGTTAAGCGGTAACAAACAACAAACAGCAACACTACAATATTACTAAATGATTTATAATTATTCATTTTAAAGTTCTTGGAAGAAACGATTAAGTCAAATAGGGAACAATAGCTTATCGATAAACGATGTGGTCGTCAAGCAGTTGGTCTCTTTAGGCGTTAAGACGTTGGTCTCTTTAGTACAAAGGTTTAAATAATAGATTATATAGCGGATTTTATATTTCGACGAACCGGCTAGACGAACCGGCGAGAAACAGTCCTAAAATAAATATTCAATGTCTGTTTAACTGGATATTTGCTAATTTGCAATTTCAGATGTAATGCTTGTTACCTCATGACTATACGAGTTATATACATTTAGCCGAATTCATTTACACGGGAAACTCATCAATAACGAGAAACTCAACGAAGACGGGAGACTCGTCTGATGTGAACCTCACAGACGGCTTTCTCGTCCCAATTTTCCCGTCCAACTTTCCCGTTTAAATAAAAGACGAGCAAGTTTGACGGGAATCCCGTCTGGAAGAGAAACTCGTCTTAAATTCGCATTTAGACGGATCAGTAAATCAGACGAGTTTCAGAAGTGTCAGCACGGTCAAGACTACGCATAATAAACACAATTA